TAGCACACGTTGATTGGCTACTTATGATATCAATCACATGGGTTAGGTATGTGGAAAATCACTCTGATTGGTGCATGATACATGAATAATGATGAATGTGTTCCATAATAGAGTCATGTTAAAATATTCACGTTACATGTAATAAGAAAATATAACGTATGTATTGCAAATGATATTTCGAAAAACTTACTTTTTTTAAAAAAAGATAAAACTACGCGTCAATTACTCGCACAACATTAACTATTATAGTTAAATTNAATTAAATTGACAAATTTTACTCAAACTGCTTTTCCGTTTTTCGACTTCAAATTTATCTTATTTTTTATTATATTTGGTTTCTGTCATATCTGAAAATAATAAAAAATTCATTTACTTATTTATTCTCTTTAAAAAAAGAATATAAACATTTGTAGCACCTTTAGGCCAGTGTTGTTTTCTAATTTTCATATCATCAATTCTAAACCAGTTACTTTTTCCTTCTCTGCACATACTTGTATAAGGACTATTTTCAATACACAGTCCGTTATAAAATGTGGCGTTAATTACTTTATCTAGGTGTCCACCTACTGACACTTTAGTCGTTGGAACAGCACGTAAATTAAATTTGTTTGCAGGTAGTATTTTTCCATCTTCTGAAAATAATGGAAAATGAATTATGAGTATTTCTTTTGTCAATGTTAATTCTCTTTTAAATATCATGTTATATCTGTTACAAGTTTTACATAAGTTGTTATNATATNATTCACACCAATGAAGAAAGGTAACATTTAATACGTCGTTAAGATCATAAATCTTTTTGTCTAAATTAATAACAGGTATTGAGATCAAAATATTATTGGATGTAACTGTATTTGTATACTCACAATTTTTGCATCGTGTAGTGGAAATTACTTGATGCTCGACTACATTTTTTATAAAATCAAATTTTGCGCAAAGAGTTAAAAGAAATTCACATGCATCACGTTTTACATTATTGGAAAAGTTATCTCCTAGATATTGTCTTATTCTGTATGTATTTAAATGTGGCATTTCATTTTCATATTCATGCATTAATACAAGTAAAATTTTTTCTTTATCATAATTAAATATTTGTTTTCTAATGATACTTAAGTGCAAAAGACATTGCAGTATTGCATTTGCGTAGGATGAAACTTTATCTGTGTTTTGGAAACNACGAATAATCCAACCAGTACTTTTATGAACATTTTGATGTAGTTCCTGTGGTTCTTGTACGGAAGCAATTATTTTAGATAAAGTCCATAGATTATTATCTTTTACCTTACGAATCTTTTGTTTTGAAACAGGAATTATTTCTGCTTGTTCTTTATGTATTTGTTTTAACCTGTTGTATTCAATAATAGCTTCTTCACTAGCTTTTACAGATGAAGGATCATAATTAATTAAATATAATCCTTCTAAAGACGTTACACGAGACAATGCAACATAAATTTGACCAGGACTGAATATAGAATTACCTATATCTATAATAGCGTTTTGCAAACTCAATCCTTGGCTTTTGTGGATAGTGATTCCATAACTCAAACACAATGGAAATTGTTTTCTAATAACATATGTTCTTTCCATGACAGGAAATTTGACACTTACTCTTTCAATTAAAAATTCTTTACCTGACGGCAGAAGAATATTTATTTTTTCTATATTGTTATTTGATATATTTGTAACAACGGATATCATTTTACCTATTGTACCGTTTACAAGGCCTTTGCTAGCATCGATGTTACGTCGTATNATAACTTTTGCTCCAATTTTAATAACAAATTTTTTTGAAAGTCCGGCTGTTCTTGAATTATCATCTTCATGATTTGACAATAACTTTACAACTTTCTTTTCTACAAAGCGACTACAATTTATCTTATTTTCTGCAATTAATACTATTTCTTCAGCAGTAAGTCGATTTAGCATCGCCGCATTGAGAACGTCACACATGTGACAAGTAGGCAGTAAACATACGGTATCTATCGGCAAATCACTAATAAAATTACATAATTGGTTCAATCTAGATTCCATAGATACACTTTTAAAGGATAATATTCTAGTTTGAAGAATTTTACAATCAGACTCAGTTACTAATCCAATACGAATTCTTGATAGTACCTTACGATATGAATCATCTTCTTGCTGCCGCATATTAATTGTTAATTCATCGTAGTCAAACAATATAGTCCATAAGTTAATGGCCTCCACTGAACCGAGATATTTATCAATTTTCTCCTTTGACAAGCTCATAAAAACAGGATCATCGTTTACAGGAGGTANTTGAAGTAAATCTCCAAATAAAAGAATGTGTTTTCTACCGAACCAACCATCATTACAATCAATGGTGTCGAATATTTGACACAATCTAAGATGTATGTACATCAACGTTAAATTAGATATCATCGACACTTCATCAATTATAATAAGAATAACATCTTGAAGATCTGCCCGTAAAACTTTTAATACATGATCAGATAATTGTTTATATTTNGGAATAAAACCGTGTTCAACAGGCAATTGAAGTAATCTATGTACTGTCAAACCGTCAACGTTGAACGCTGCAATACCAGTAGGAGCTGCTATAGCAGTATCTTTCTTGAGATTTTGTTTTATCCAGCATTTAATACTTTTAATTAAGAAACTTTTTCCTGTACCACCTTCTCCGCTAACGTATAATCGTAATGATGATTTATCTGATCTTACAGTTGAAACAACTTTATCAAACACTCTTTTTTTATCTATATTCAATTTTGCTATCATATCACATACATCGACTTCTTTGTCTATTTTTTTACCAAGATCTTTAAAATCTTGCATTGCTTCACCAGCTTCTATATTTTCAATACCTATTGGATTTTCTGGATCATCTTGCGATATATTCTGTTTGTTTAATTCGTCGTCTAGATATTCTTGCACTAATTGTCTTGCAGTTTCAAATGCTTGTTGCAATTCCTCTATCTTTTCATGATATTGTAATGCTTCTACAAGATGTAATCTTAAGTTGTGAAATGATTCCGTAGAATTATCACATCCGTTTCTAAGATCTTCTAATTTTTGCCATGGTTTAAACATGAGTAATAATGCAAAGAAATAATTCTCTGGTTGTNTATTGACATCGTATTTATAATGATTAATAAGATATTCACGTTTCCGTCGTTTAAGATACATACCCTCACCTATTTTGTAATATATGATATACTTATTTTTCGGTTTAANTTTTGTGATGTCATACCACTTTGCAAATTCATAAAGAAACACATTTTCTAACTCTCTTGGTCTTATTGGATAATAAGTATCTATCAAAGACGGGCAAAATATGTCGGTAGATTCTTTATCGAGATTTTCAATCTGTTTGCGGGTCTTTAGTTTTCTATATCTAATTTGAGTAACATCTAACCATCTAATAGTTGTATTTGAATCAGTTCCATGTAAAGGAATACCCAATAATGTATCAGCAGCTTCAAGAGCTCTACATTCTCTGTTATGCGTAAATCGCAAAGCAATATTCCAAAGATAAATTCCCAATGATTTGTTTTCATTATTCTTACTATTGGTAATGCAATCAGATAGTTCACATTTTCCCGCTTTATTCAAATACTTAGTGACGTACCATGTAAGTAATGTTGATTTTTCCTCAATAAATTGTATATCTATATTTCCTTCCCAAGCAATAAGAAGGACAGCATTATAGTCATTTATATAGATTTCATTTTGTGNTCGAGGAAGATCGTATAGTCTACTTCTATGTTTTAATTGCTTTCTACCTGCTATCGAACTTGCGACATCTCTTATAGTCAATGCTTCAGTAACGGAACGAGGAAATCCAAACCGACATCTACGTACAACTTTACGTCCTACCTTTTTAGAACGCAGACAATAATCGTTATGTTTGTGCATCTGATGCGTATTAACACGTTTATATAATAACGGTGAAATATCTTGATGTGGCATTTTGCAGCTTATATGTCGTAAAATGAAGTTGGAAACTTCTTCGGTAGAAGATTCTCCTATAATCGGTGCATTTAGAATCCAAATTAATAAGTGGAAATGTTGTATACCTCTACCTTGATATTCTCGTCGCCAGAAGTAATGAGTTACTTCTCCGATCGGATGATCTTTAGAACATATAAAGTCTAGCATTGCTTTAAATTTATTATCGAGAAATCTCGATGTTGAGACAGGATCTTTTGCAACAAGAACACTAGTACTAAACGAAGAATTATGCCATCCATTAACCTCACCTATATAATTTTCTAAATTATCCCATAACCATTCGCTTGGACTTAATGTTAAAAACCACGTCGCAGGTCCATAATGTTGCGTCATGCAATTCAAATCACTTCTCGGTCTTCTCCAATATTGTTCCGTATTTCTTAGTGTTGCAAATATTGTATTCAAGTTACATTCTAACAGTTTTTTTGACATTGCTTCTAAATATTCAGCAGCTGTGTAACGACATCGTAAGTTTGTTACATTCATTTTGTGATAAATTCCGCGGCTTAACTGACGAATATTTGCATTGTTTAATAAATAAAATAAATATTGTAGATTTAATCTGTATTGTGGATGTTTAGACATCAAACGACATTTAATAAATTCATGGTCATAAAGTTTTACTGTTCTAGTTTCATATTGTCCGTTAATACCAAAGGGAAATAAATCTGGGAACCACATTAAATTCAATAATTTTTCACGATTATCTAAGAGTACATTCTGAACTTTTAACATTTGAAACAAGGCAGTCGCAGTTTTATTTAGTTTTTTTTCGTATAAAGGATAAATAGTATATTGNTCATAATAACTATCATTCTCATTTGTTACTTGTGTTAACAGTGCTTCACGATGTTCTCCTATTTTATCATCTGTATTATTTTTTTTCGTTTTTTTTATTTTACATGTTGATTTGTTTAATAATTCGTTTTTCTCAAATGTGATTTCTACTTCAGGTTCTGTATCTTGTAATTCANATTCAAGATTTAATTTCTTTACATGCAGTTTTTTAGGAGTATTCGGCAAAGTAATTTCAGAATATAAAGGATTATTTTGTTTCAACCACGTCAAGGCGTCAAATATTTTTTTAACATTCACTATTTCTTCCCATTCAATTTTTGATTTTGTGGGTATACTTCTTACCAAAATATATAATTCATGATTTATTGCATGAGTATCAGAACATATTTTACTTAAAGTCTCTTGTAAAGGGAGTGGTAAATGAAACGTTCTACCTTTGACTTTTTGGATTTGTCGTTGTGGCAATTGTTTGTTCATAACAGTTCCCATTTTAACAACAGTCTGAAATGCTTTTGCTCTTTGTATAAGAATAGTTTTAAATATATTAAGAGACAATATTACTTTAGGAACGTCATTTACAAAAAGTTTATTTAAAATACAATACGCAGGTATTACACCCATGCGAAATTTTCGAACACAATAATCACATACATATTGTGCATCAATTTTCCGTTCTTTCACATAAATCATCAAATCCCTTCAAGATGGAATGTCTATTTGTTTTTGAACAGTATTTATTTCAGAAACATTTTGTTTGTAACAAAGTCTTTTACATGAAACACAAATGTATCTCGGTACATCCATACAGCGTATAGTTAAAGCTTTAAATGCATTGGGATATTTATCAATGATATCGTCATCACTCAAAACAGTATTAGGTTGCTGCTGTTTGTATATATCTGCTTTTTCTTGTGCCAAAGTAACAATTTCCTGCAATGTGTCTAAATTGGCACAAGTTAAAGCTCTGTCTAGATTTACTAGCTTCTGATAAACATTTTTAGTTGATAAATCAAACGTTTTATATTCCTCACTTTTGGAAAATGAGGTGATAATAATTGAAGTGGAATACACATTGCTTTACAAAGACTTGAAATAATATAGCAACTATGAGCATGACCTAACTTTTTATCTGAAGCTTTTACAGTACAATTAAACAAGATTTGCATTACTTTTGGTATGTTCTTTAAAGTGCAAGTATTTATTATTTGAAGAAGTTTCTCATAACAACTTATTAAAATTGGATCGTCAGTTTTGCATGAGTTATTGCACAACCACGATATTTTCCCTTGTCCTAGTATCAACGGCAACACATTTATAATTTGTCCTTCCATATTTATCATTAAAGTTTGTGATAAAGATTTTTGATTATAGGAATAATACGTAGAATCAATAAAAGAATTTTCAGATGAAGCTGTATGTCTGGATATCCCACATAATGCGTGTAATTTTTCATCAATCGTAGTACATTTGGCAACAACGCTTAAACATATTTCTGACTTTTTTCTAAGCAAGGATAATATTTTAGAAATATTACGAATGATCGTGTTTCTGACAACAAAACACCAACGTACAATTTTTTCTGCTTCTATCCTTTTATGAATATTTTTTTTAAGTTTGAGTTTTTCTGAAATATTACTAATAAAATTTTTTTTAGAACCACGAATCTTTATAAAATTATTCGATCTACGGGGATTACATTATATTTCAGAATAATTTTTTTAGCTATTTTGTCATTTTTTCTTAGAAATAATTTGTTTTGTTTGGCTACATTGCGACATTTTATATACTTTTTAGTGCAATTAGTAGCCGAATTTTGTATGTACCATTGCTGGTGTAATTTACGTCCTTTTTCTAAACAACAAGTAGATTGTACATTTTGTTCATAACATCTACGCTTTTTAACACGATTATTGTTTATATCTTCATATTGCTTTCGCTTTCTAATGGTTTTCTTTTCTTTGTATTCTACATCTGTGTATTCCATACGCTTCTTAGCACATATAGTTGCCGAATTTTGTATGTACCATTGCTGGCTTATTTTACGCCATTTCTCTAATTTGCACATTTGATTGTTGCTAAAATTATTATTATTATTACTAACATTTTTTCGAAAATTCTTTTGATTATGTAAGACTTGCTGTTCACAATCAGTACTCTTAGTTTCTTTAGATATAATGTTACACTTCATATCGTTATTATAACAGTTACCGTCATTGTCACAAGTATCGCTCTTATCGCAATTAGTAACACTAATGTTACAATCAACATCACTGGTATTCGGTA